AATGTAGTCTAATGGTGTTAAAGCACAACTTCTTAGAGGACATTCAATGTCACAATTGTTTGAAATAATTAAATCCCAAAACTTTTCTTAAAACTACTTCGCTTAATGCACATGCTGTGTGACACTGAGTCACGTCTTGTTGGAACCCGCAGTTGTCAAGACCAACTTCTTTCAATAGCCGGCATTAGGAGTTGGTTATTATCAACCTATACTGCTCTCCATTGACAGTAACGGTGTCACCCGCTTCTGAGCGAAAGAAACACGAACCATTGACTAAACCACACCAAAAATCACACCAAACTGTCAATTTAGGTGAATGCAATGGTTGTTCGTGAATAATGTGTGGATTTTCGTCGCATCAAAGGCCTCCGTTCTGCTCAATGCCGCACTATGTAGATAAAAGTTAGCCTGATCAGAGGAGATGAGTTTCTTAAAAAATCGTTATCGCCTTCAAGTTGTTCCAAGGACAAATCAGCAATTTCACGACGTTTACGGCGTTTATTTTGATAATAAAATTGAATAATTTGTAAACTTTGTGCTTGTGTATATTTTTCCAGTATGGATCTGTAAACATTACTGAGTACAATAAAAAATAGCAGCTTATGATAGATTAAAAGGAGTCGAAACGAAACTTCAATATCATGTCATGTCTATCGGAACACCCGCTACAAATTCAACGGGTTATTCAGATATACTTTTTGTACTTCCAGCTCATTTAACACAATCTAGACAACTTGACTCGTTTGGTTTAAATTAATTCTTAATTTCAGCTCAATTATTTTATAACAGTTTTCAGTACTTTTATTTTTAGATTAACCAGATAAGTTGATGTTTAGCTTCATCTGTCATTACACATTTTAATTTAGATAATCAATTAAACTAATTTAGCTCAATCATTTAATTCTAGTAATTAAACAATTTCAAAATAGCTGCAGAGCTCAATTAAGTTTCATTCAATTTATATTGATTTAATTGTCGACTACTTTCGGGTTAAATTAGTCAATTAGCACATGGCACATTTAATGCTTGAAAAGGAAACTGTCGGTTAGCTCATTTGAAAGGGAAAGTAGTAAGGTTTTTTAATAATATTGAAGATTTCTTAAATTAAACTGTGTCGTCTTTCACTTTAACTTGGTGTTATTTAATTCAAATTTTGTTAATGAAAGAATTTCAGACTCGAACTAAACTTCATTTAATTTATTCAAACTCTCTTTCAATTATTACTCAACTTAGCTCAATTTATATCAGGAACATAAGCTTAATTTAGTCACTTATCACATGACATGCACATTGTAGTGAGTTGATTAGTGACGTTTTCTACTACTTGAGGATTAGGTAAATTGACCCCACATTGCTTTCTCTAATTTTGTTTACTTTAGCGCAATGATTTAAAATTAGTAATAGAACAACCTTATTTTAAGAAAATTGAATTTATATAAGGCTTAGCCAAATTAATATATCTGTTTAATTATCGTCTTACACAGTGGCCTAATTTAGTCAATTAAAACTGGCTGCTTTAATGCGTTCAAGGAAAAATGTTAGTTGACTCATTCAAAAGCCGGTTTGAAACGTAGAAATTTTAATTCAACTAACTAATGAATAAATATCTTATAATTGTTACTAAACTTATTTTAATTTTTGTGTGTTTAATTGTCATCACGAACATAAGCCTAATTTAATCAATTAACACAACACATGGCATATTGAAGTAAGTTAATTATTGAGGTTTTGAAATACTTGGAGTTCACACAGTGCTCGCAAATGACACCGCTAATACGTTGAAGGAAAACTGTTAATTGACTCATTTAAGAGTCTGTCTAAAACTCATATAGGGTAAATTTTCATTCAATTAACTCATTTGAAAGTTTTCTAAATTTACTAAAAATTTACTTTTTTTTTTCAATTAATGCTACATTTTTATGTTAAATCAACTTTAAAAAAATTCAATTGCGAAGGTAATTTATGTATTTGAGCGTTTTTATAATTTGATTCACATTCATTAAGTTATTAGTAATCAATTCATTAATCATTAAAGTCCATTCTATTTGATGTTAATCGAAGCACTAAATTTTGTGTTATTATATTTTATAAATTTTAATTTGAACACAAGTGGAGCAGAGCATTCTTCCAGTATAAAAATATTGAAATCAGCTTTCAGAAATATTTTTAAGTTTGAGTAAAAAAAGAAATATTCAAAATAATACAAAATAATCACAATAACTTAAATTCCTTTCCATACGAGGCGTTGTTGTCAAAATTATCAAAGTAGAAAATTGAATTTACCGTTAAATTAATTTAGAAGTTGCTGTGACGGGTCTCCGCTAAAAACTTTATTCGAGTAAATAAATGCGTGCGATTGTAGGATTGCAATTTTTGTGCGATTTATTTATTTAGTATTTCTATTTTATTATGAAGATCACTTTTATTATGAAGACTAAATATCACTTTCTCGATTGGATCGAAAGAATTTTTTGCGCTTAATAACAATTTTCAACATTCGAGAGATTATATTTGTCAAATTATTTTATTCACGATTTATTATTGTTGTTATTTTTAAGGTGAAGCGTTAATTTTCGCGCGATAACACGGAATCTGAATTGCATAAATATATAGAACAACTGTAAACTTGAAACAAGTAGCACGAAAACCAGAAGCGCGACGAAAATACTGAAAACAAAAACCGCGGCTTAGAATGAGCCAGGAATTTCGACCGCCTTGCACGTTATATGAGATTAAACGCATAAATTTCACTAAAATTTCGCTAAAACTAAAATGATCGAAACAAAAATTAAACAATTACAACAGCACACGCGATTGTAGCAGCACCGTTAGCTGCTTGTAAAGCGCTTTAAGGCCACGGGGGAGCCAGGGGCAACTACATGTATAGTGTAGGTCAGGAAGAATTTCGTGCGAATGCACGAAGTGGCAAATTTTATTCGTGTAATAATAATATATATTTTTTTAATAATTTCCACAATTGCCAACTACACTTGCATTTCATACAATGGAACACTAAAGCACTTTGAAATTTATTTTTTCTCTTGAAATTTTCACACAATTTCGTTAGCGAAATTTCTTGCCTTGGTATGTATTTTCTTTTTTCACTGCCACACAAAAAAAGAAGCGTACGACGTGCGCGTATCGTTAACTCGCATTATTATCCTTTACATCCTGGCCAAACCCGAAATGCTACTAAACGTGTCCCAAAAAACTAACACGATGCCTAACGGCGGCTAACGGCACTGCTTGCCAAGGTACGGGTACACGAGCATGCTTCGTACCTTCGTTATTCAACACGAAGAGTAACGTCGTTAGAGGAAAGGCGAGCACAACATACTCACGAGTAAAGTGAAGTGGTGAAACTGCTAATAGTGAAGTCATGTGAGAGAGATTATCCTTGTTTTGAGCGTAGCTAGGTGAGAGCTGGTGAGTACGAGTTGTGGTGGAAGTATAGGTGTTGAATTTTGCAATTCAGCGTGAGAATGAGTAGTCATAAGGATGTTATAGTTTTAACAAAGAGAAGTGTTTAAGAGCGTTGTGTAGCGTGAAAGCTTTTGTGGTAAGATTTTGTATTTATGGTGAAATATGGTGGATTCTTTTTAATTTGAAAATGCAAAACCGTCGGTTTTGTAATAAATTGTGCGATTGATGGCAAGTCTTACAATACTATATAACATGTTTTTGAGTTTTTTAAAGAAAATATTGGACTTTATTTAAAATCTTAATGAAAAGTCGTAGGTAAAAGCTCGTAAAATAAATAAATTTAATAATAATAATTAAAATTTTACAGTTTTTCTAACTAAAGACGTAGCTTCGGTCATAGAATTATAAATCGATATTGATCCTTAAATTCCTTCAGCGAGCAGAGGATAAAATCTGAACGCGGTAAGGTATATCTGTCACAAGCGGCTACTAAAATCTAATATGCTCTATGTCCATTATTTGGCTTCTAGGGAAATAACTGTTTAGTATTGTCATAAATAATACTATAATACTCATTTCGAACTGATAATATAGACTTTGAATGAGGTTCTCTCCAATGGAAAGGTCTTTGAAGTTCAAGCGACAAAATTTACCACTCATTGAGTTTGAGCGATGCTAAAGCTACAAGGTCTGACCGGAGATTCAAATCTGGTACAACGCGGATCAGTAATCCCTTGCAGTTCGCTCCAATCTCCTCATTGGGTTTGGCCCTCTGGGAAGATTCGTGGTGGCTGAGGTGTAAACCAAATGGCAGGCAGAATTGAAAATTCAGTTCGGTGCGGAGTCGCACTGCAGCCGGGTGCCAAAGTCCCAGTATGACAGAGGCTTTATGGCGGCCTCGAACCCGACCAACGTGGAAAGACTGTCTCTTCCACCTGACCAATTTTAACCAAATATTACTTGCAAAAAACTTACATTAATTGGGGCGGTGATCAACGCATTATATGTGCTTTTAAGCACCGCGAGGTAAAGTCATCGGCGGCAAGTACTCACGTAAAAATACAACGACTGTTATTGTTTACCCTTAAGTCAATCTATTGACTGATCTATAGTCATTAAATAATAACTAATTTTTAGGTCCGATCAAATTTAATTCTCACACAATTTGCAAATATAATAAGTAATTTAATAAGTACTGATCATATACCATATCAGATGGGGACTGGTTCCTCGCTTTAGATAATGTTTTTTAATAGGTTAGAATGAAATAAGACATATACCATATATCTATATGTCGAGTTATGGCTTTACCCGATTTTACATAAATCATACCTGGTCCTTACTGAAATGCATCGTTTTAAAAATTTTCGGAGATTTTATATTCTTTTCCTTTTGTTAAGTCGTTTAAGCAATCACTTGGTCCTACTATGCTACGAGTATATGATCTATTATATTTTCAATAATATTTCGATGACTGAGCAACCTTTGTTTATATAGTAATATTCAAAAACAATAACTTAAAGAAGTGCATTACAATCACAATATATTCCTTGAAAGATTTCAGAAAGAATACTCACGCGAACTATTTGGACGAAATATCGAACACTGCTGCTGCTCGCAATATGTTTGGAACCAATAATTCTGAAAGTCAATCTGAAACGAGATAATAAAACAAATACATTATTTTCGATACAATTTAACCAACATATACTAAAAAATATTACTCATAGTTTTCAAAAAAGTCTTGCGGTATTTTCGCTAGTTGGCGCTGAGAGCGCGTAGTTCTAGTTTTATTCGTCGCATCGGGTCATGCTATACCTTTTTGGAAAGCTCATTTTACGCGATAACACGTGTTTGATTTATTGTCGTTTCTTTTAAGTCGTTCGTGAGTTATAGCGTCGCAAACATGGACCAAAATAAAGAGAAAATACGGCATATTTTACAGTACTACTACGATAAAGGCAAAAATGCATCTCAAGCCGCCAATAAAATTTGTGCAGTTTATGGACCCGATRCAGTTTCCATTCCCACCGCACAACGATGGTTTCAACGTTTTCGTTCTGGTGTAGAGGTGGTCAAAGATGCGCTACGCTGCGGAAGCCCGGTCATCGGAAATTGCGATAAAATCGCTGAATTGGTTGAAAGAGACCGGCATAGTAGCAGTCGTAGCATCGGTCAAGAGCTGGGCATGAGTCATGAAACCGTTATAAACTATTTGATGAAGCTTGGAGTCACTAAGAAGCTCGATGTGTGGGTGCCACACGAATTGACGCAAAAAACATCTTTGACCGTATCGACGCATGCGAATCGCTTCTGAATCACAACAAAATCGGCCCGGTTTTGAAGCGTATGGTGACTGGCGATGAAAAGTGGGTAACGTAAGGCGCAAGCGGTCGTGGTCGAAAAGCGGTGAAGCGGCCCAGACGGTGGCCAAGCCTGGATTGATGGCCAGGAAGGTTTTCTGTGTGTTTGGTGGGATTGGCAGGGAATAATCCACTATGACCTGCTCCCCTATGGCCAAGCGCTCAATTCGGACCTGTACTGCCAACAGCTAGACTCTTGAAGACAGCACTCATGCAGAAGAGGCCATCTTTGATCAACAGAGGCCAAATTGTCTTCCATCAGGACAACGCCAGGCCACACACATCTTTAGTGACGCGGCAGAAGCTCCGGGAGCTCGAATGGGAGATTCTTTTGCATCCACCGTATAGTCTGGATCTCGCACCAAGTGACTACCGCCTGTTCCTGTCCATGGCGAACGCGCTTGGTAGTCTGAAGTCCTGTGAAAATTGGATCTCCGAGTTTTTTGCCAATAGGGAAGCGAGCTTCTATGAGAGGGGCATTATGAAGTTGGCATCTCGTTGGGAACGCGTCATCGAACAAAACGGCGCATATTTCACTTGAATCGCATTATTGTACCCAATTTTATGAACAACTGAAAATTCAATAAAAATACCGCAAGACTTTTTTGACAACCTATTAAGATATATTTATAACAAAAGCTTTTATATAGGGCCAAAAGCTCAGACACAGTTTGTAATTCAAGGTACAAAGTGGAGATCGTTGCAGACAGAGCGAGATTAGATGCTATTCATTTTTCAGTGTTTTTTCATCGACAGCTCAAAACACTATATTATATAAAATGAATCGAAAGAATATTTGAAACTTTACATTTGTACCATAGTAAAGCACTTAATTAAGCCATAGAACTCTGTAATTTGGCACAGAGGATTGCAGAGGCAAGAACGTGCCCAAAAGATTTCAACTAAATTCGGTATAAAAACATTCATTTAACATTCTTATATCACAGTGTGATAATGGGCGAATCGGACTGCAACCATGCCCACTTCCACTAAATTCCATCGGATACTTTCCTTTCCAGTGTACAAATAAAAAAAAAATCATGTAAAGAGATAGAACGTTGCACGAATTATGCCTTTATCTTATGCACTCTTATGGCCATACATTTTCCAAATCCCTCAAAAACTGTTCCAAGCCCCTAGGTACCGTATACTTGGACCCCATTACCTATAGTTGACCTTTTATCACAAAACTCGATTAGAGTGTGAGATAAGTAATTGAAATTCAAGGATAATGCTTCCCTGACAGTAGTATTCATGAGTGTCAAAACTGGTTTGAATCGTTTCAATACTTCCCTTGACTCTCTTATAAATACATATGGTAACTCAAATACTTTTGAACTTCCAAGTGACTTTATCTCTCAATGAAAATGAGAAAGCGCTTTCACTGATAAAAGTGTTTCTTTGTGCTTAAAATAGATAAACTTGTGCTAAAACTTGACCTAGTCCCCATATAAGACACATATGTATATTAACAGCCTCACTTTGCTCCAAAGGATTGGTGATGGTATGTGCGGTACCTTTATGAATTTCAGGGAACATTTTATTTGTAAATGGTATATTTATGGTGTGATGCATGGGTCTATACTAACCTCAACTCCCATATAATACATTTTTGTAATGATTTTCGGTTTTCTAACAAACTTTTCGTCGCATATGTCGGTCAATCCCTGAGTCATATATGTAAGTATATATGCAAATATTGATGTAATGGTTTGGATTCTGAGCCTCTGGTTGGAGTTTTGCACTTTAAGGCATATTCGTGGCTTTGACTCTTGCAAGTTGAAGGACTATCAATATATTCGACTGCACCCGAAGTCAGGTATTGCTTACTTGTAGTATATATATTTGAGAAAAAACAAAATATTATAAGAAAGAAAACATAGGAAAATATTTAGAACTACTAGGCTGCATTGTAGATGCTATATTTAAAATTATATCTGCTCAAACTTGATTCGGAATGACCCATTTCGAAAACTTTTTTCTACGTCCGTACGAAGATTGATCACCATGTGTTAACAGTGTGTGTATGGCTGGAGATTTTTACCTTGAAAAATTAGTTGGCCAATGTGTTTGTTTGAAGTTTTTCTAATGGAGCCACTGCTACGGAAAAGTGTAAAGCTGTTTTGGGTAGTCTACTTTATCACGAATTAAAGTATTTGAGTGGCGAAAACTAGCCTCATGCGTGATGAGTTATGAGATATAAGAAAAGAAAACTTGAAAAGCGTGGGATTGGCAGCAGTGAGATAGGAGAGATCGCACGATATTCAATTTAATGACGTCATGCGTTTTGCTTGGTGTTTTGTTAGAAGTCGCAAAACAGATGCTTGTCAAAGGAACTGATGCATTCAGCCATGATTGTGACTGTCATTTAAGGCAATAACGAACCCGGAATTAGCACGGAGTTTTCGAAACTGAAGACACTAAGAGTCATTTACTGAACTCACTGACAACTAAACCCAGCTTTGTTATATGGTACTCAAAGTGTCAGTTGATCTGTAATTTGGACTATTTATTCAAATACGTTTCAGAACCCATCTACAATTAGCGAGAAAACTTAACGTACTTTGAAAATCTCTACTCAACCTAATTAAACATAATTAATTTCATGAAAATTAAGCAACTCCCATTATCCTTTTTCCCTCACAAGCATTCGTCTAAAAATCACTTTTCCTCGTCAGCAAATTCAAATGAAATAAAAGCAACTCATTAACCCACTGCAAATTTTATATACTCTTCAGGCAATTTAATCATGTGTTAATGACTATATTTTTGACATTAAAAAGTGCTTGCTTGCTGCGTACGCAGATGTCTCATTTTATTGCCACATTGTACATTCGAAATCGAATTTTCATTTTAAGCCGCTGTAAATGCTTTAACCAAAGTGCAATTAAAACCGCATTTATAACCCTCAGCCGACCGCCGAGGCTCAACATAAGGCATAATATGTATGCACCCACATACACAGAGAAACAAGAAAATGCCAAACACCCACATATACATGTAGTACTAGTAAGCTGTGGTACACTCGACATTTGAGAGTGCTCCAAAGATATTATACGCTTTATTTAAAGCCGCTCCAAATTCACCACAGAGTACGATTACAGTTATTTCCGCTTGCGGCCGAGAGGCATTTGAATGATTATCAACGAAGTGACTGACGACTAATGGAATTACGAGTAGGAAGTTCATCATAATGGTTAGTTAGCGAATGAACAACAAAAACAAAACGACAACAGGTGAATTTTCCGGCGGAATCAGRAAGAGAGAAAGAGAGAGAGAGAGAGAGCAAGAGGCAAAGAGTAAAATAAATTCAACAGAGAAGAAATTTGTGAATTTTCAACGGCAAATAAGAGTTCGAAAGAGTTGTACTACCAAGGTTGAAACAAGGTGAATATCGGAACTCAACAAGATACAAATATACAGGCAAATGTTGAACCGCTCATGTTCGTTTCGAAGCGAATTCGAAGTCGCACTCGGTCCAGGAACTACCAGTCAAACTACATTTACTATTTAATTATAATAAATTTGCAATTGCAAATGCATTGTATTATTCACCACACATAAAATCCAAAATAAGCTGCAATGTAATAAATTTTAAAGCAACATAAATAAACAATTTGTGTCTTAATGAGGCGATATTACCCAGAATACATAGTGTGGATATCATTAAGAAAAACAACGCATCTCACATTAACCGTGGTGAATATAAAATTCTGTAATTAATTATAATTGGCGCCTTAATGTAGTTCTTACAGCAACTATTACAAAAGTATTCTGTTATCAGTCAGTTTTACAGCGAGTTTATATTTTCAACAACGAGTGGTAGTTATAGAATCACTGCAAACAAATGTTGTTATGTATTGAATTCAACTCAAGTAAAAATTCACCACAGGTGATACGAAACACCACATATGAGAATTATTCACCTCACAGAAATTTGTATATGTTTTTATTATTGTAATTTTTACAAGCAAGTATTTCAAATGTGTTCAGTTAACAGTTAATTTTACAGTGAATAACATTTTCATCACACCGTGGTAGAATTGAAACAGCAGAAAAAACTCAATAAACAATTGGTAGCTATAGAATAATTGCAAAGAAATGTTGTTTTGTATTGAATTCAACTCAAGTAAAAATTCACCACAGGTGATGCCAAACACCAAATATGAAAATTATTCAACGCAGCAAAAAACTCATCAAAATTTGTATATGACTTAATTTATGGTTAGATTGCTCAACACAGCTATGGTGAAATTTATAAACTTTGTAGAAGAAATATACCACGTAAGA